CCTCCTAAACAGAATCTGCAGTGTTAAGGTCAAACTATTAAAGCAGTCTTGAATGTCGCAAAGCAGTTGTACGACCTTTAGAACCTAAGTCATAATGCCATTCGGACCTGGAGTATTTTGGCGTATAGTGGACACTGCTGCGGCACCATTGTCCCATCCCAGGCCCCTAAAGGATCCTTTAGGCAGTGCCAGGAATTAACACTCGACCAAAAAGGACACACCCAGGAAACTCCAGTAAGCACCGGTCACCCATTTATTACCTCTTACAACAAGCGGGAAACACTGTGGGGGAAACTTTCTGAGAACTGTTTATTTTAAGAAAGCCTATCTCCCACATAATTTCTGACACATGCAAGATTTGAACCCTTAATCTACAGTGCTTTCTTCTGGCCGGGTAGAGAGCACTCCAGACCAACCAATAACCCGACTTAACAATCCACAAAACTATCTTTACTAGTAAACAAAATGCCAAAAGGAAATAGATTTAATATTGTTTTTAAGATTGTGGTTCATGTTGGCAGTGTTCTTAGCCAGTTTTGTTGAGTTTTTCATGCAAAAATACTAAATAGTATACGCTACATAAAAGTGTATCAAGATTTTATTTATCGAACACAATACAGCCGATATATATTTTTTTGGTCATGAGGGATTCAAACCATCTCACCTTCACTACTTTTAAGTGAGAATATTGTGAATAAAACGAGAACAGAATGCTGCAAGAGTTAAACCATCATTAAGAGGGTAATGCACTGCCGTACTAAGCACAAAGGGGGTATCTGCACCTGAGCTGATTTTGAGAAAAAGAGGTTCCAAGTCTAAACCTCTTAATTTCGGTAACTATGGGCCTAGGATCAATATTGCCATATTTACTGAATTTGTAATTTTTTCCTTTGTCTAAAAATACTACATTTATTTCAAAATGAATATTTAACACATTTTTATGGCAGATACGGCTAATTGGAACAACTAACTAATCCTAAAATACTAAGTTATATAGCCGTATGTATAACTTACTAAGCTGATTAAGTAGTATCTGCGGCAGTTACGGCTAAATTACATTAGTAGCACACACTTACAACTAGGAATGCTTAGTAATGTATGTAGAACTATCTACTCATCTATATATAAAGCCAAAAGTACCCATGAACTTTTGAGAAAACTACAAGTCACACCCCCATAAACCATATACTTAAAATGTTCGTCATGACGAGAAACCTTGCGCAAAATTATCCATTATTTCATAAATTTCGTAATTGCTTTCCAAAGGGAACTTTCCATTTACCTAATGTTAAAAATACCTCAGCTGTTATTATTTGTTTGTATTAACATTACTGTATTCTGTTATGTTTATTTCAGCTTAAAACTTAACCAATCAATAGTTTTATTAATACTTCTACAGTAAAACCGGGGAGCCCGTGGGTAACAGCTAGTAAAATTATAATTTGCCAAGTCCTGATCATAATACTAAAATTAAAAGTGTCTAGATAATTTGACCTGATCATTAGAATTATTTCAGGAACAATTAATAGCCTAGGAATAGTAAAACAGCTGATAAAAACCAGAATTTATTTACAGATAATAGTAAACATTTTTCTTTTTTTGCACACAAAACTTCTATTAGGCTAAATTATTCTGCAAACAAGGAAAGTTCCCTCTTAAAAACACTTATTATAAAGCTTAGAAGTAAAAAACAGTCATAAATCAAATCAACTTATTAATTAACAAATTGATGACCGGCTTAAAAATGAAACAAATGTAATTAATACCGGTAATTGTCATGGTTTTTCATTGCACTAAAAAAACCTCAAAAGCAAATATTGTCTGTATTAATTATCAGATTTATCTGAGATCACTGGGATATTTTCCCAAAATGAGAAACGGCTTTGCGGAACAATACCCTTTTTGGAATGTAATAGATTCTTCAATATTGCATTTTTTCTTGATGTCGATATTCCGACAGGAGTTTTATAGTTAGAGGGTAGTTTTAGTCCAGTTTTCAAACTCAGTGGGGTGAGAAAATTAATTTAAATAGCGTAATGATTTTTTTTATATTTTATTTAAATTACAAATGAATTTTGTTGATTGCAATTGGTTCAATTAAAGGTGCTTCTTATACTTAAGTGTTTAGATAATCTTGTTGCCTGTCTCGTCTTTCTTTTCCTTTTCGTTTTCTGCATGATCATCTAATTTTGTTAGTTACTAGAACAAACAATTCTTGCAAACATGTGAGAATGTTGCCAACATACTAAAGCAAAAAGGTGGCAACTGCTACTTTACTAAGATATAAAAGTGGTATGTATATATTAATAAGGGAATAAAGTCGTATCTACAGCAGATGCGACTTTTATTGCTTAGTGAATGTCACTTACAGCTAAAATCCCCTAGTAAAACATGTCATTTGTGCAGATACGACTAACTAAAAAATACCTTTTTAAAGGAAATTATTTGTTGTTACGGCTAAAATACCTTAGTAACTGATAGGTAAAATCAAGCTGTTTTAGTAGGTATCAATATCTCAATATAGCCAAAAATTGCAGATACCCCCTTTGTGCTTAGCACGGCAGTGCAGGCATAATTACTGGCCTCTCTTACTGTTAAACTACTTAGAAGCTTCTTTTAATCATGAAACAATGCAATTACAAAGACATGCTGCTCTAGAGTGTTGAACCATTATTTTAGTTGAGTTTGGTAAATTTAAAAACTAAAAATCTATTTTTTTTTTTTTTTGTCCTAGGACGCTAGGCACGAGCCTGGGATTGTTTTTCACATTACTTCAGGCTAGACCTAGGGGTTGCGGCATTATCACTTAGATAAAATCCATTGGTGACTTTGCGGGGTCGAACCCGGGACCTCAGGGACTGAAGTCCCGCGCTCTAACCACTACGCCAGCTCGCTCCCCCGATTACTGCTGATGGGAGTTATAAAATATTCCAAGATCATTGAGATTTTTACATTTTAATTAAGCAACAAACTAAAATCAAGGTTTGCAAAATATCATGTGCAGGCCTCCATATATTCTTATTGATTAAATTGATGACAGCAGGTTAACTGATTAAAGTGGAGATTTTTACTCATTTTTTAATACGTTATGTTGATTGTCATGGACAAAAATACTGTAATAACTGAACTAAAAACTAAAATCCAATGTAATCCTTAGGTTAAACAAAAGCCACAATTTCAGGAGCGGGTTATAATATTATAGATTCATGACATCATTTACATTTTAATGAAAGAGGAATTTTAAAAGCACAGGCATAAGCTAATTACCTAAATGCCAGCTATGTTTTTAGATCCAAACAATATATTATAACAATGGTCTACAATAAAAAAAAAAAGTTTTTATATAAACAATACATTAATTAAGGACTACATTAAATCATTCTGTGTCAAAAACTGTCATTATCTTCGTATCTATTCTTATTGAAAATATTTAATTACTAGTGTACCTGTTGCTCGAATTCGAGCAATTGCTAAGTATTACAGGCGTTATTTTAAAACGAATAACAGTCATAATTTCTAATGACTTAAAAAGATTCAACTCAAATATTATGGAAATAATCAAGATGTACATAACAGATCGATATAATGAACATTTCTTGATAATATCTTATCATTTTTCAAAAGCTGATCTTGTTTTTAGTGTTTTCTACAAATAGCCCTACTCATAGCCGCATTAGATTGTTCATAATAAAAAAAAACATTATTTCTATTTCTTCTCCTTGGTGGTGTTTTATGACTTTCCTATGTTTCCATAGTTTGCAAATCGGTTCTTTCAATGATTACTAAGAAATGCAGCTTAGTGTTAATTCAGTTTTATTTTTAGTATATAAATTTATCCAGGCTCTCTTGCTTTTTTTCCTTGTAATATTCAAGCCAACCCAAATTCAAATAGTAAATACAGTATTTCATTTCAGCTAAGTAAGTAAATGTTTGTAGCAAACTGTTAAATTAGCAAACTTATTGACGGTTTACAATTAACATATGTTCTTCTTCTCACTTTTAATTTCTGACAACATCTGGAGTTTCATAACAATGTTTATTTCCCATGTCAATCTTATGGAGAAATACGAAACTTTAAAGGGCCCTAGGGTCTCACTCTCTAATTATTTCCCTAAAAAGAAAGTTTCCTGCACAACTTCATGTTACGATCTTTCCAATGACACCAAAAACATGTCAATCGGTTCAGTAGTTTCGGAGGAGTAATTGTCACAAAAAACCTGCTTGCGAATTAAATAAGTATATAGATTTAAATTATCATTCAGAATTTAGAATTGGTGATTCCAATTAGTTTTTATTAGTAAAGGCCATTTCACACCGATGGCATCGCATTTCGTCGCTGAAGCTACATAATAAGCATCGCCCGTGCAACGTCCTACATTTGTAAGACGAGCATTTGCACATTAGACGGTTCAGTGTTTCGTGTCTGATTCAATTTTTGGATTAATTAGATGAAAACAAAATGGGTAACGGTACTTTGTTCGCTTCAATGAATAAAGTAACGAAAGTTTATCGTCACTGTCACTGTTTTCACTTCAGTTCATCCAAGGCATACTTAAGCTTAAGTCTGGCTCATACCAATTAACACTAAACACCATCTCTAGCCCAGTCTACAAAGAACATAAATTGATCAACAATAAACTTTAAACAACCAGTAATACACTCGACCACAGCTCAAACTGTGAACAAATTCAAACGAATACAACATAGCTTTCGGTGTAAACTGTTCATAGCTTACGTATTAATACTCTACATTGCCCGAAGACGTCACTTAAGCAACGCTACGCCAATGTGGAAAGGCATTAACCTTAATTATGTTTGTGAATTAGTTCGCCTAACCGCGGCTGTCTTACATTCCCAGGACATTCTACATTCTGAGGATATGATCCTAAGAGGTATTACAATCGTACAGTTTTATATGCCATATGTTATTATTGGTTCTCTATTTATAAACCACAAAACACATAATATTAACAAACACAGGAACAAAATCAACAAACACCTTGAATGTAAAACAAGTTTATAACCAAATGTGTACAAAAGAAACTGTACACTTTATATACATGTCATAACAAGTAAAAAATCTATCACAATCGTTTGATCAAACAAAATAAGAGAAAAGGTTCCCAACTCTTTCAGATGAATTAATAAATTTTCCGTCTATGAATTTTAACACATTTTCTTTGTAATAACGCAATGCTGCAACTGAACATTACTTATTTTACTCACACAGTCTAGCAATTCTAAAGATATGACTGCCAGTTAAAATAATTAATAGTTTATAGCACCTTCACGGAGCAAACACAAGACTAGCACAGTTGCTGAGAAGCTAAGGATTATTGAAGTGTAATTAGAAATGTCAAACACAGAAGAGTCAGAAATCTGGACTAATTGGCGTTGTACCTTATCTCAATTAAGATTCTAATTGCCTGGATTTACACTAAATATATTATTGATTTACGTAACGTATGAAGGTGATTTTTTATTAAAACAGTACTTGTCAATGTTTGTTTTAGAACATATACTGTGCAGTTTTATTTGAAAAAATAAAAAATCAAATTGTAATTTTATTTAAATACAAGATTCAATTGTCGTTAAGTACTAGGCTTAAAATTACAAGAAATTTCGGAATTTTGACAGTATAAAATTACAAAGAATGGCAACTTAACTTTGCTCAAAATTTAAGTTTGTTGTTTTAAACAACTGCTTATACCAATACTGTTTATATTTATTTTAAAGCCTGTATATTGGTTCAAACTTTGAATGGGGATGTTTTGTGCTGTCAATAAAGATTTAGAATTAAATCCAGATCAGTCCAATAAAATCAATCAACTGAGTTAACATGTAAATTTATGTCAAGGTTTTTAAAATATAACGTAGAAAGGATATGGTTTTACGTATTGAAAGTTCATAACACCTTGAAGATAAGAGTTTTCTGACAGATTGCACTTACAAGGTAGAATTAACATGAAACTTCTACTATTGATACAACTAGAAATTACATACCCACGTACTTTTTAGTACAAAAATTGGTGACATATCGTCCATGTAGATAGGATGTCTAATTCAGTATCGAAACGTCAATGCTAAAGGCAACTTGAGCTTAACAATGACATCTCAATTATGAAAATTGGTTAGGTAGTAATTTAAAGTAAACGTTATACATATATAGTAATAAATAAATATAACAGCTTAGTAAAGTTGGGCACCTTAACTCAGTAAATATCACATTACATCAGTCGTAGACGAGTCTTCCGACGGAGAGCCGGGTGAACTCTTTGTCAGACAACATGTGCCACGAGTGTCCAAACCTCTGGGACACTTCACGTTCTGTGTCCTCGTATGAGCGTGAAGACATACGCAGCCACTCGTAGAACCTACAACAGTTTAGTGCAAAATATGTAGCCAAGTGAAGATTCTGAACTACTCTTTTGATTGCTTGGTTCCTAAGTAAAAGGGCACTTAATACTTTAAAATTATATATCAAAGTGTAATGTACAAATCACTGTGTTTTACCTATAAGCTATTCAAATTAATTGTGATTTATTTTGTAAACAAACCTTATAGTATTTCCGACAATACTTCAGCAGATCAATTCTCAACTAACGATACATTTGAGCTTACCCAGGTGACCACTCAGGGTTGCGAGGCCAATCACAACGCAGTATGACTGCGTTGCGTCTGATATACAGATGACGCAGGTTCTTGCCTACGTCAGCTAACAGCAGTACTGTACTGGTTGAGATCCTCTCTCTTACTACCTAAAAAATAATACAAAATCAACATATCTTTAGATGTAAGGCCTTATAATATTTATACTTGTTAGGTTGCAGGTTCAATGGATGCACAATTTGAGCTGGCAAGTAATCCTACTTTCAACCTTTGGAAACCTTTCGATGCTATCGGTCCTTTGAAACGAGACAACTTGAATAGATCACTTACCAGAGTGTGAAGTTTGGGGCAGGCTCGACAAAGCATCAGTAAAAACGGGTCAATGCGGTCATTGAAGCTCTTAGGCTGATGGAATCGAGGTAGGCCAATGTGACCAAAGACACATAACTTCTCTTGGTAAAGGTCTATGGCTCGCGTAACCACGTCAGTCTGCAACTGCAACAACAAGGAAATATCATTCATGGAAGTGTGAGATTTCAGTAGACTTCCTTGAGCGCAGTAGATATGTAAGGACTGGATCCTTGTCCAAACTAAAAAGGATGAACCTTCACAAGTGCATAAGAACATGAAAGGATATGTATCTTAAAACCATGCATTGTAATATTTTGAAAACAGTACCAGTAAAGAATTTGATCGAATTTCAACTTCCATGTTCAATTTAAATACTAAAACATTTGGTCAATGTACTTGCATTAGTTGAATTTATACAATTCAGTATATATATTTATACTGTATAAATATATTTTCCTATATATTTATACAACTCTTATGAATGCAAAGCAGAGTGTGAAGAATAGAAGAATTTCCACTGCTTCAGCAAAAAATTATCACACGCTATCTTATAAGTAAGTTACACCTGACAACTCTGAACCTTCTTGAATCCACCACGGGAATTGGGAGTGGAAGTTTTTTATTTTGCTGCGCCGTGCCTCCATTAGGTTGCAAGGTGTGCGCGAATAAGAAGCAGCAAAAACAGCTATGACGTGTAAAAACTGGTATATCTAGTATTTTCTTCTGGGTTTTCCCTTATTCCGCAAATGAAGGAACATAAAAGTAAACCCACAAGCTCCTTCCAGTTCCATCACGATCAATATAAAACAATGAACTGAGCAAGTGTGGTGGCTAATGAAGTGGTTCACCACTCAAGGTTACGCCACCAAACACGCCACCAAAGTACCATGGTGGCCTAGTGTGCAAAAGCCCTTAAGGAACATTGGAACGTTGTTTCGAAAAGCACTAGTCTTACCGGTTACGACTACAGTAACCCTTTTTAACCACGACCCTATTGGTTTGGACTTTGCTTATTTTTAACAGCTGTTGCACAATATATCATAAACGTGTCGTACCACTAAGCTAGGAATGTGACTGAGAGGCTATTGTACAGTATCCTATTGTGTATTGGCTATTGTACCTTACACTGCGGACTGGAGTACAACACTGTGTGTACAGGAGCTCCTTCTTGCCACAGCAAATGTCGCTCTCTAGTGCTTTCCACCCTTAGATGTACCTTCAGCCCCGGGTTGCGCTTGGCACAATCCCTGCACAAACAATAAGGGTATCAGCAGACTTACTTACTTTCTCCCATAAGCTTGGCATTAATACCCCCGCCGCAGCAAATCTGCTAATCTGACTAAGCGAAATTCCATTTAAGGATTTCTACTAAAATATTCCCTAAAAATTGTCAGATTTATTTCCTACTAGCTGGCCCGACAGATGTCGTCCTGTCCTAATGTGATTTTATGTCAAATGCTTGTTCATTTTCAAGATGAGCTCGTTCCCATGATGATAACGTCCTGGTTGAAGTTCGTTCCCTACGCTCACTCACCTTTAGGTTGGAGCTCGTTCGCTGCGCTCACTTGCCTTCAGGTGAGCTCGTTCGCTACGCTAACTCGCATCTAGGTTGAAGTTAGTTCGCTACGCTCACTCACCTTTTGGTTGCAAATTAGCTGTTGTCATAAATTTAAAAAGAATAATAGTGCTGCACCCTGTTGGTAAACCTATTAACTTTTTAATGCTATTGAACATCAAAGAATCAAACCCAGCTGTTAAGATTCTTTAATCTATATATATAAAATCCAATGTAGCCTATGTTTGTATGTTTGTATATTTGTATGTTTGTCCTTTATGGACTCCAAAACCGCTCGACAGATTGTAATGAAACTTTTAGGCATTATTAAGCATTATTCAAGGATGGTTTGTGTGAAGTTTTGTGCAGATCTGTCAATAGGGCTCCGCCCCAGTGGCTCTGGAGTTTCCCATGTTAACCTTATGAATACTCATATTTAAATGGAATTAAATAATCTTAACAGCTGGTGCAGCTAAACAATTTGATTCTGTGATGTTCAATATCATTAAAAAGTTAATAGGTTTACCAACAGGGTGCAGCACTATATTTTTTTTAAATTTATGAGAACAGCTAATTTGCAACCAAAAGGTGAGTGAGCGTAGCGAACGAACTTCAACCTGGAGGCGAGTTAGCGTAGCGAACGAGCTAACCTGAAGGCAAGTGAGCGCAGCGAACGAGCTCCAACCTAAAGGTGAGTGAGCGTAGCAAACGAACTTCAACCAGGGCGTGATTGAGCCATGCGAACGAGCTCATCTTGAAAATGAACGAGCATGTGACATAAAACCACAATAGGACAGGAGGACGTCTGTCGGGCCAGCTAGTTCAATTTAAATATGAGTACTCAAATGGTTAACATGGGAAACTCCAGAGCCACTAGGGCGGAGCCCTTTTGGTGGATCTGCACCAAACTTCACACAAACCATCGTTGAATAATGCTTAATAATGCCTGAAAGTTTCATTACAATCTGTCGAGCGGTTTCAGAGTCCATGAAGGACAAACAAACAAACATACATTGGATTTTATATATATAAGAAGATTTAAATAACATTAATTTTAGTGAGTACTTAGGTTTGCAGCTACAGGGAAGATATCGTGGCGTGTTTTATATTGCAATGTTGATAGCTTAGTATGAAATAAAGAAAATTTCCAAATTTGGTTAAAATATATCAATAAACAAGCAAACTACAACAGTTTATTTATTCTCCATAAGAATAACATGGGAATTTTAAATTTAGAATTTTTTAACTATCTCCGTAACCGTTGGGCAAACGATGTTTCAATATACAAAAATTATTTATTTTTTTAAGCTCTACAAAATGGTTTGGAGAGAAATTATGAATGTTTGTGTTTTTAGAGTCAAAAATGGGAAAGATCAATTTTAACCCCATAATACCCCTCATAGACCCGTTCCCATCGTCCATTATGCTGGTTCGCGAACTCGTTCGAATAAACAATATAGGTTTACACGTTTGTACTAAATTTTTTCAAAATCGGATAATTTTTACTTGAGTTGTCACGCTAACGAACACAGACAAATACGCACACACAAGCACACACATTTATATATATATATTTACTAGCAGAGTACCCGTCCTTCGTACGGGGTTGGAATATAAGTATAAAATGCTTATTGCAGTTATACTTAAGCTTTGCGTTTGCAATAAGGCAGGACACAGTTTGATAAAATTTGCTTTTTTAATTTACAGTATTCTATAGTACTAGTGGAACCCCGTCGAAATCGACGGTTAATCTTGAGGTTTTATGTAAATTCAGCTAACTGCAATAGATAGAGTGAAGTCATTAAAATCTTAGTTAAATGAAGGGAGGATAAGCATAATAATATAAGGATATATATACGAATGGTGTTTTTGCCCTCTGAGGACCTCAAAACGAAAAAGTAAATCAGTCCCAGGTCTAGGTCTTACCATGAGACCTACGGTAATAGCTTATTCCCTACATTTTAAATTCGCTGAAAGCATAAAAAACATCATGTTGTTGAAAACTGATCACAATTCTGTTTAGCACTGTGTCAATGCCAATCAAACCAAAAATTGGCATGGTACTTGCTTGTTAAAGTTTAACAACAAGCTTTCTATTCTCTTTGGTTTTGTGCAACTGATAATTTTCATTGGTTATTTAATGGCATGTGTCTTCCTTATTAAGAAATGATGAACTGAGTATTGACTGATCCAAAGTCCCACGGAGGAGTCTACATATCGTTACGTTGTCGTGTTCATCACTATCAGCCTGGGTTTGTGATTTGCATCTTAAATAGCCTGTTTATGCTTAGAAAAATTCCATTATACATAGCTTAGAATCTTGGCACGGCTCTCTCTAAACATTTTGATCTCATAGAACCAGGAATCTGTCAATCGAAACCAAGTAGTTTGTTTTGCCAGTCCAAAAGAACTCCAAGGGTTTTCACATTAGTAGAATTTGAAATATTTTGAGGTAAGAATGGATTCAATCTAGTACTCTTTTTTTAGAGCAATTATTGAGTTGGAAAAAAATTTAGATTTTAATATTAGATCTTAAGTAAGTATCAGCAATATGTAAATGTTAGTTACATACTTTCTCCCACTAGCTTTTCAACAATCGTTATCTGGGACATGGATAAGTGGTTAGAGAGGAAATTTAATAAATTATTTTAAAAATCAATAGAGTTGCAACTATTTTTAAATCGTAATTTTTACAGCAATAGGGGTTGTACCATTTCGTTTAGAGTTAAAAACATTAAACTAATACAACATATACACAATTTGAATTAAAGTTGGTCAAGTCGTTTCATGAAAATCCGATTTTCCGTGACATTAATAAGTTTTTATAGGGAAAATGACAAAAGTTGCAATAACATTTTAACCGTAATTTTACAGCAATAGGGGTTATACCATCTTGTTCAGAATCAAAATAAGTATAACATCGTCAATTTTGAGAAAATTATTTTTTATATTTTGTAGAGTTTAACAGGATAATCACCATTAAAAATTTAAATTTAAAAAAATATTATAAATATTTCTTTGAATATGTTGCAATTTTGCATGGAGAGTTTATATTAAGTTTTTTTTCAGGTTACCAATATGGAACAATCCCCAGACTTCAAAAACCTCCCTTTTATCTTCAAAGTCATCTTTTCTTTGGACATAAAAAAACGTAGCCTCAACAAGTATATAGTTTCGTTGAGATTTTTCTTCTACATCCTCTTCTTTTACACCACGTTATCTTGCATAACCAACAATGAAAATGAAGGAAATGATTTCTCTAAATATCACGATTTAATTGTTATCTTTGTAGTGATTTCTATTGAACTATTCGTAATTATAAACAAGTCGCAGTTGTGTTCTTTGGTAGAGATTCTGCTAGAACCAATCGTTGAAATAGAGAGGAACACTGTTCAATGGAAATTGGTTGAGGATTTCAACAGACAAATTACATTGTATGGGAAAGTTAGTTTGGTTTTATACGTTTCTTTCGTCCCTTTATTCTGTTTGCTTCCACTACTTCTGTCGTTGCAAACAGAAATGGGAATCAACGATGAAATTTGTGCAGATCTTACCATGGGGTGGATATGGAAGTCTGAATCGTCTTTGCTCCTACTCTTGTATCCCATATCAGGTTTTCTGATGATGTTACAAATTGCGGGGATGTATCTGCTCTCTCTGGTTTTGATTTACATGGTCGCAAAGACCAAGTTTACCACAAAACTGCTTCTCGTTGACTTGGACGATGTGAACAAAATAATGGATAAAACGAATGAACAATCATATTACTATTACTTGTCTACCTTGAGGAGAAACCATGAGGAGAGTGTACAGAAACAAAACTGTGCAGAACAAAAAGTAATCAATGCAGTCAATTTCAGCAGCTTAAAACTACTGAAACCTCTTAACAAAACTTTCCATGAGAAAGGAATACAAATCTATTTGGAAAAACTTGTGAAACGTCACATCAATATCATAAAGTAAGTAGGTATGATATTTACTTGTGTTTTCCTTCAGCAATCCTATTTAATATTTTAGTTAGTTTGTAAAGTAGAAATAAATAAATATAAATCAAAATTATATTACTAATAGCGAGTTAGATAATTGATGTTGATATCAGCCAAATTGCTTTTAATTAGGACCATACTATCTCTTATCTATTAATTAAATTCAATGTCTTTTAAATTATTACAGTACAGGTTAAGATAAATGGCAACATGTAGGAAGTGTTGTCTAACTTTCATAAAATAGATTAAATACGTTGAAGGCTAATCAATTGACCTTAAGTAAGATGTTATCTTAGCAAATTTTTCTATTAGTACAATAAAAATATGTTTTGACCCAAAAAAAATTAGCAAAACCAGGGAATTTGGTACAGATGTTGGGTGTACCTTCCTTTTGAACATACTAAAAGTCCCCTAAAATTGAAGCTGTGTTACGGCCGCCATGTTGGAAAATGGCGGCATATTTCTGTATTTTTCGCTATGGTGACTTTATTATTAGAGATACAGGAAAAAGCTAAGTATACAAAATGTATGTCATCGAAAGATACACATTTTTTGTATTTACCATCTTTCTCTAAACCCAACGGTTTTTGAGTTATTTGTTATTAAGTATATTTAGTTTTTTTATATTTATCAAAAACTAGCTGTAACCCGCGGGCTTTGCCCCGTTTAACTTCTTAATTTTCAAGATGATCTCGTTCGCATGGCT